ATCGTATCCTTTTATCTCTCCCTATTATTCAGGCAAAAGCTTTCAGCGTCCCCTGGTATCATACGAGGAGCTTGATCTCTGCCGCCCCCGACCTAGCGACCAATCTTCCGCACCAGAAAAAAGCAGAATATCTCCTTGATCACCGGCTGCCTGGGGGCGTACGGGATGGCGATGGGGGAGTGGCTTGCCGGTGGCCGACGGCGCTTCTCAGCCCGTCAATTGGCACTTTACGGAATGATTGTGGTGCTGATCTTCGTTATCTATGCGCTGCTGCTGTCGCCGGAATTTGCGGCTCAGCAATGCTTTGCCGGGGATGATATCGCCGAATTTAAAATTGAAGGTTTGATGCCGAAGAAGTGGAGGGCCAACAATCGGGATGTGCGATTTGTGAGTTTTTAAGGCTAGGATGAGCTTAACCTACGTCTACTTGCGGACTAAGCCGAATTGAATTAGGCGATTTCTTATTTCCTAAGCCACTGCCCAAGCCGAAGCCTAAGCCTAACATAAGCCTTAGCTTAAGCCTAAGCCTAAGCCTCAGCCTTAGCCTCAGCCTAAGCCCAACAGGAGACGTGTGCGTTTCAGGTCCACCTCAACGATGGTCACATGGGCATCAACTTCTGTATAATACCAAAAGTGATGTCATCGACGCTGGGCTTCGTGGCCTGCGACGTCTTCCTGGCTTTCCACGGATCAACCATGGTGTCAGGGAACTCGACTAACAGGTTGAACTAGGCATGGCTTAGGATTGGCTTAGGCTTAGGCTGGGCTTAGGCGTAGGTTTAGACTTAGTCAAGGCTTAAGTAGCAACTCCTTATTTTCAGTCTCTGCCGACGACGACCAAGGCTGCGCGACGAGCTGAAGGCGAGGCAGGGGCAGTGGGATATTCCCGAGCGGCCCGTCGAGTTCGCCATTGCGAGGGAGCCAATCTCCCGGTTCTTGTCCGGGTTTATGGATGTTTGCGAGTAGGTTACTTTTTGCGTCATAAAGTAACTGGAGAGTTGAAATCGACTCTTTCGGTCTCTCTCACTCTCTCTCTCTCTCTCTCTCTCTTCCCTTTCTCACTCTCGTTCTCACTCTCTCTTTCTCTCTTCTTTCTTTCTCTCTCTCTCACCTCTCATGCCTTCCCCCCTCCCGTAAAGGGATAGCGACGGCATCGGTCGATCACCCCTGATCGACTTTTACGCACGTAGCCAACAGGTCACAGAGCGCGCCCAGGGGCGAGAAGCAGAGACATTTTTTCCCCCGCGTCACCAATTACTTGTGCCGTAATTATCCCTTTAAAACCAGCTTTATGGTTGTTTTTGGGCCGGGATAAACTTCGAATCCCCTTAGCCGTCGACAAAATTGCGGGAACCTTACGGTGCACGAATTTGCGAAAGCACTTTACAATTCCCTGGATCGAAACCCAATCGAATGGACGGCCCCCGGTGACGAGCAGCCAATTTTCCATCACTTTGTACCGCAAGTTTGGTGAGTTATTTTAAGGCGCAATTAATTCTTCTGATTCACTCCAGCGTGAGCCTGTGAATCTAGGTATTGCGACGCAAAAATTCCGAGGTTACGGTACTCGTCGGATGGCGGAGAGGTGGCCGATCAGATTGAGGGCTTTCTGAAGGAAGCCTGGGTGCCGGATGGGTTGGCGAAGAAGGTATGGTATTACAATGGCTAGGTTAACGGTTTTGGACAAAATTGGTTTAGTCCCATGTTTGGGGTTATGCTTAGGCTTAGGCTTAGGTTCAAGTTTAAACCTGGGCGTGGGGGCTGATGTGCTGATTGATGGCGACGAATGCGGTTCATACCTGAATTTTTACGCTTCACGCCGAGAGAGAGAGCGCGAGAGAGAGAGAGAGAAAGAGCGTGAATTAAGGAAAACGAATTTCCTGATATTAGAAACGTAGGAGCGATATTTTAATTAGAGCGTAGAGTAGCGGATCTCAATTACTCATGCCACCGTTTATTTACACCTTTCCGATTAAAAAACTGGAGCCGCATGTGAGTGGCCAAACACAACAACTGAAAATTTGTCGAAAAACTTGGAAAATTTCTTGAAAAATACAGGGTGTCCCAAAAAAAGCACCCCCCTCTAGCGGCGCGTAGACGTGTCCGATTCTTGCGCTTTAGGTATCTATCGAAAGCTCTCGAAAAGGCGAGAAAACATGGACGGTTCATTTTCTTTATGATGTATTTTGATTGGCGAATTTTACCTCCAAAATCCATGAAAACGGCCGATTTACGCGAGATCCGCATGCTAATTGCGAAATTCCTATTGAAAACATATCTGTTTTTTAGAAAAACGCTGAATAACGGACGAATCAGAAGAAATCTTAGATAATGAAGCCCGCTTGTTTTCTCGCCTTTTCGCGGGCTTTCGAATGGTATAAAAATCATCCTGATCTGAGCTTCCCACGGACCGCTAGAGGGGGGTGCTTTTTTTTGGGACACCCAGTACATAAAGTATAACTTTTGTAGATCTCCTCTCGAGTCCGCGACGAGAAGAAGAACCCGAATCCGCAGTCCGACGACCGGAAAGCCTATCTTCGCCAGGAGATCTTCTCGAACTGTGAGACGCTACAGTATCTGGTGGCCACCTACTACGATGATTACGTCAAACTGGGATACCCGATCCCAACGAGCGTGTACCCGAATCAACCGAAAGTGCCTGAGACTCAAGAGCTCGTCCGGCGGACTCGAGAAGTGGGGAGGAATCCTGATTTTTACAACCTTGAGGACGAGGAGCTACTCTTCAACCCGGAAGCTAAGCCAAACATTGCCAAGCCGACGTCGGAGAGCCCCAAAATTCAACGGATGTTCCTCAACTTTCATCAGGAAGCCTCCGAAACGACGACTCTGGCAGGTTTCCCAAATTTTCGACCAGATCCATTAGTCCCAATGCGCTACAAAAAACGCAGACACCACCGAAAGCCGGCGCTAAGAAACCCGGTAAACGTCAATCGCGCTGTCCGCAATATGAAGATCATCTACAACCGGACCGTACGGAGGTTGGGTCGAAATTTGTTGCGGAGTGGATAGGGATAAATTGAATTTTTTTTTTGGTGTACATAAAAATAAATTTTTTTTCTTGAAACTGCGATACAGGCTGTTGGAAGCTACACCACGCATCGAAGAGAATTTTCAGGTTCTAATTGTGACGGATTTAGCGCTTTTGTATTTAAAAAATCATCAAAGCACTGCTAATGTTCTCATTGTAAGGTTTTTTTTTATTGAATACCAGGGTTGAAAAACCGCTTCGCGGATTTTCAACTCTGGCCCCGTCTAGGATCGATGAAGCATTGACTTTGCATAATTCTTGCCGAAAACCGCTCACCAAAAATGAAAAGCGCGCCCTCTCTTTCTTTTTATAAACCATTTCCACTTTCGCGGTATGCTAATTGCTTCCTAACAAAGAGGTTGGCCGAAAACTTTACAAAAACCTGATTTTAATAGCGAAAATAGCAATTTTTCAAAACTTTTATGTGTGTGCAGTCGATTCCGGCCCCTTCTTTACCCTATGACGTTTCTTCCCTACCCAAAGAACCCTTCCCCGAGGCTATAGGAGCGGAACATAGCTATATATAGCTATATATATAGATATATATATATATATATATATATATATATATATATATATATATATATATATATATATATATATATATATATATATCCTATATATATATATATATATATATATACATATATATATATATATATATATATATATATATATATATATATATATATATATAGGATATAGTAGGATAGGACGATTGATCAAACTCCATAGGAACAGGAACGGGGGAGGACTAATCAAATTTTCGGAGCTTTTTTTTTCTTTTAAAAACGCTAATAAATTTTTCACCTGCGGCGCTGGTTTTCCTTATTTTCTTCAATTGTCCATAAAAACTTTCGCTTGCGACGCCTTTTCTGTGATGTTTTCACATCTGCATGCACTAAACGTCTTTTAAACAAAAAACCAGATTTAAAACGAATTTATTATCAGAAAACATTGTGTACCGACTTTTCGGCATTTTCCCTGTTTGTCGGATAGTCTCGTTCATGCATTCCACAATCCCCGGAATCTGATTGCCGGCGTTTCGGCATTTCGGCTTTAGGCATGTACATTATTTTCTTGGACAATTGTCGGTCTGCCTTTGAAAGCATTTTGACTAGGAATGTCGTTTGAATCGTCGACAGCTTGCTCGTGCTACTCGTGTTCTACGTCCTCGTGTTTTGGTGGTGCTCCTAGAGTCATGTGGGGGAGCGGGAGCCTTATGCTCAAAAAACCCTGGCATCCAGAAGCCGTGCCACCCTCGCGACCCGGCAACTCCCATAAATCCCGCCATAACCGTAAATAGTGCTGCCGTGGTCATCCCCCCGGCAGTTGAGTGGATGTCGTAATTGGAAAACTGCTGGAGGGTGCGATCGCTTTTTTGGGGAGCATTAGCGGTGATGCTTTGAGAAGATCTCTGCCCCTCGAGCGCCCATAACCATCGGAGCACCAGCCATCATTTAGACCCAGGCATGCCGCGCCGCGTCGCGTGCGCATCCATCTCAAGCCCATCTACGCCGCCCAAAAAAGTATATTAGCGGGGGGGGGGCCGGGGATAAAGCGAAACGCGAGCATAGTTTCAACTCCCGCCCAGGAGCACCAGCTGCAAACCCGAGCCTAAGCTCAAACCTAAGCCTAGTTCATTCCCTGAAATGCGCCCCTGGCTACGGTGGCTCCTATTTTGCGCCCAACTCTCTTGGCTACAACATGTCGGCGCGGAGCAGTGCTTTAAGGAGGTCGAGATTGCCAGCTTCAAAATACCGACGAATGCCGCGAAGCACTGGGGCCGAGACCATCCCGACGAACGATTGGTGAGCGTTAAAACCTGCAGAAAAAAAACTTTTCGAACACCTCTATTAATGCAGTGCGCATTTCTTTATTGCAATTGCGCTTATTAAATTTCTAATATTTTTAAATTGTAAATATTGCACATTTTTGCCAGCGCATCGAACCAGTCTTCACGTTTTTTAAGCGTAACTTCTTTTTAGATTTCATACAAACACCACATGTTTCGGTGTTTTGGACAAGAAAATAGCCGAATTTTGAACCAATTTTAATCATCGTTTACTTATTCGACAATGTACGACAATTTTTCCTAATGTTCCTCTTAAACATTGCCAAAAGTTAAATTACAAAAATTTAAACAGCCAGGGAAAATCTGGAAAAGCTAGCCACCAACAAACAACAAACAAACCAAACCAAAAACCAGCAAAAATTCAGCTCAGCAAAAATATAATACCCCATCCTTGCTTTTCCAGGACCCCGCCGTCAACGACGGGCACTACGGCCTGAAAAGTTGCCACGTGCCGAAGGTGATGTCGACGATGATGACGTTCGTGATGTGCGACGTCTACCATGCGTATCATGGCGACAAAGCCGACTCTGGGCATGACATTCGGGGGTGCGTTTTTACGCCGCTGTTTTCACACAAAACGGAAAAGATAGGTTTTACCTACAATAATATTAAGGTTTGCCGAAAAATTCTAAAAAACAATATTTGATTTCAGGGACTGCACCGAGTGGCACGAGCAGAATCGGGAGCTGCGCGGAAAACCGAGAGCGTGGCATGCTGCTCAGCCACCCGTACATTTTGCCGTGTCCCGAGAGCCGATCAGCCGCTTCGTGAGCGGCTATATGGCGCTGTGCATGTAAGGGCGAAAGGAAGAGCCGGGGGAAGTAAAGCTAGGCTTAGGCTTAGGCTTAGGCTTATGCTTAAGCTTATGCTTAGGCTTAGTCCTAGGTTTAGGATTAGGCTTAGGCTAGGCTTAGGAGTGGTTGTGCTTAGGCGGTTTAGGCTTACGCAACATCCTCTTTAGGCAATGGAACGACTGCGCCGGGATGGGCGTCCACGACTTTGCCCAGGCGCTCTATGCTGCCTTCCGGAAGCGAGTGCCCCGGTTAAGGACCCGCGGCAAAAATGGAAGAATCCTAAAGCACTTTGCCCCACAAACCTGGTAGTGTCTCAAGCTTTTGCGTTATAGTTACCCTGATACAGGTACTGCAACAAGCCGAACCTCTACCGTTTCAAGTATAGCGCGAATACCACACAAATGGCTGACGAGTTTGTGAAGGTGCTGCAGCTGGCCAAGGTGCCGGCGAAGATTCTGAAACAGGTATCCATAGTGCCATTCGTCTGTTTCTCTCTCTCACGCTCTCTCTCTCTCTCTTTTTCTCTGTCTGTCCGACTCTCTCTCCCACTATAGCTCTCTATCTCTCTCTCTCTCTCTCTTCCTCTCTATCTCAAGGCTACAGTACCCTTCCAGATCCACCGTCGCGTCACCGACGAGCCGGCCAACTTTGGAATCCACTCCGACAACAAGAAAAAGGCGATGCTCAAGGAGATCTACTCAAACTGCGACACCCTTCGAAGTCTCGTCGGTCTCTACTACGATGATTTTAACGAGCTCGGCTTCCCGATCCCTACGATTGCGAATAGCACCACAAGCGAAGCACAAAAGAAAATCGAGCCGGAAGTCAAGGTCAACGGGGATGCAAACGAGGCCCTGCAGAAAATGATGCCTCTCCTTGTGCCCCAAACAACTACCGTAACCTCGGAGACGATTAAGGAAGATCTGAAAATGATTGCCGAATCGAATGCTGCATTCGATGATGACATGAAAGCCGCCGCTTTTGCCGCTCCAACCTTGGAAATTGACCGAAAACGCGAGAAAAAACATAGGAAAAGGGATGGCGTTTTCGAGAAGTTGAAGAGGAAGAAGAAGGCACTGAGAGGGAAGGCAAAGAAAAACCGGGAAGATCGGGAAGATCGGATAGACCGGAAAGAGCGAAAAGAGCGGAAAAACGGAAAGGGCCGGAAAAATAGCAAACAGAATAAGAAGCAAAAAGCTGCTAATCGACGTGCCAAGAAAAACCTGAGGCGTCTGTACTCGAAATTCCAAAGCCGGGAACGGAAGCGCGGACCGAGCGCTTGGATTTTGTAGAGGATGCAAGTCCGGAATTTCTTTGGGTATTTATTGTTTTTATGCATATATTTATTTCTGTTATTTTGTGTATAAAGGACGTTCGATTACGCTAAGGAATTTGATTAGGAAACAGCAAAGTGTTAGAGCGTAAAAAGAATAGGAGAAGCAAGGGAAGGAGAGGGAGCGAGAGAGACGGGGGAGAGAGAAACAGAGAGCTAGAGAGAGCGGGAGAACGAACGATAGAGAGAGCGAGAGAGACAGAGAGAGCGAGAAAGAGACAGCGAGAGATAGGAAGCGAAAGGAAGGGAGAGAGTCAAAAGTAAGTACTAAATATACATGGCGTGTCAGATCCCTCACTATCTCTCGCTCTCTCTCTCTCTCTCTCTCTCACGCCGAAGCCCGAAACCTCGGGACGAGCCAGGCCGGAGAAAATCAGCGAAACCGCGGCCATTCCATCATCATCATAACTCAGGAACAGAAATTTCAGGGGCAATCGGTGGCTGGCATATCTGAGCTGATCAGCACCACCGACGATCAGCCCCAAAAAGGCTGGTTTTGCTCTTTCGGCCTGAAAAATTAGCGATGCTTTCCCAAAAGCTGGTTTGTTCAGAGCAAAAGTGCAACAGTATGATATGCGGGAGTGCTCGTGATAAAGTGAAAGTGCCGAACTTGGCAGATATAAAAGGGAATTCTGGTCCCTCCGCGGTTTCAGTTTTTGTCGACAGGCTAGACTTTACTTACGCCCCCCCCCCCCTCCCCCGGAAGAAAAGTCACAAAATTTTTGAAAACTTCCGATATTTTGACGGAATTTCGGCTACGCCATTCGATGGAGGATCAAAAAATATACTAAGAGTTTTAAGTTGAGCCTACAATAATGTAAAAGAACAAAGTTATAGCCAAAACCTCCCGGCTGGGGGGGGGGGCGGGGCGGAGTAAATTAAAGTTCAGCCCTAGGCTAAACCGTCGATCGGATTCGATCAATTTGAATTTTTTCTAGAGGCTAAAATGCGCTCCCGGAGCCTGTGTTCTCTATTTTGTGCCCTGTCCTCTCTACAGTATACCCTCGCTGTGCGATGCTTTGAAAAGGGAGATGCCGAGGACCTTCAGATCTATTCGGAAGCCGCCGAAAATTGGGGCCGTTCCATCCGGATATACGAGTGGTAAGGAGTGGAAAAGCTGAGGCTTGGGCTTGGGCTTAAGTTAGGCTTGGGCTTAGGCTTAGGCCTATCCTTGGGGTTAGGCTTATGCTTAGGCGTGGGCTTAGGCTTCACAAAAAGATATATTTAAGCCTACGCTTTGCAGCATCCAAAAATGAACGACGGACACACAGGTCTGAAGAGTTGCCGCGTCCCTAAGGTAATGTCGACGATGATGACGTTCGTGTTATGCGACGTCTTTCACGCTTATCACGGTGACGGGATGGATGGTGGTTCGGGGACGCATGGGTATGTTCTGGTTTGAAAGAAAGGGCTGGATAAGGCTTAGGCTTTTAGACGTAGGCTTAGGCTTACACGAAAACTTACAGAAACTGCCGGCAGTCGAACGCAGATGTGGTAAAACTACGTCGACATCCTAGAACCTGGAAAGCGACTCGGCCACCTGTGAGATTTTCCATCTCCCGCGAGCCGATTGAGCGCTTTTTGAGCGGCTACATGCATCTTTGTTTGTGGGTTACTTTCTAGTAAGCTTAGGCTTAGGTAAACATAAGCGAGTTCTCGAAACAAATTTAGCGAATTCCGGACCCAAATTTAGGCACTACGACGAGTGTCTAGGGATGGACGTGCACGCATTTGCCGCTAATTTGTACGACGCCTTCAACAGGGCACGGCCCCAATTTCAATTCGACGACCGCCACCGCCGAGTCCTCAGCCATTTCGCCCCGCAAACCTGGTAGTCCTTTCCGTTATATGCAAATTTTCCGCACTTGTTAGGTACTGTAGGCCGGCGGATTTCCGCTTCAAATACAGCCCCAACACGACACTAATGGCTGAGGAGTTCGGGAAAATTTTGGACGAGGCGAACGTGCCGATGAGGGTTCAGAAAAAAGTAAGTTAGCTTGGATTAAGGCGTTTAGAAGTTCACTTTTTTAGTCAATTGTTTTAATATCAATAGATAAAGTTTTTCTAGACGATTTTTTGCTCCTTCTAAATGTACAGAAAATACAAAAATTGCGACTAAAAGATACAAAAATGAGGGTTTTTTCAACCAAAATTGGCCGCTTTTTTGCCAAAATTGCAGCCAAAAATTTTTTCAGAGTTTGCCTTGCTTGCTTTTCGACTTAAGATATTGTTAAATTTGTTGTAAAATCACGATTTGTGACAAAAACCGTTTTTCTAGCCGGAGTAGTTCCCCCTATAAATTTTTGATAGTTTCCCCTCGACCAAAAAATCACAAAAAATTCCCCAGATCCACGACCGCATCATGGATGAGCCAGCCAATACTGCAGCATTTTCCGATGGCAAAAGAAGCATGATCAGAAAGGAAATCTACGCCAATTGCGATACGTTGCGGAACCTTGTCGGGCTCTACTACAACGATTTCGTACAACTCGGCTACCCGTTGCCTACCCGATCCGTAGAAGCGGCTGATGGAGATTTGGAAAGTCCAACCGTCACACCGTCGACAGAATAGCAACGCTCATTTTCAGTTCAGTTGTTAGGTCGTAGCATATTTTATTATTTGTTGAATTTATTGATTGCTCTTGTCAAAATTGTTAATTAATAATAATAATAATAATGATAATAATAAATGAATAATTGTAATAGATTTTGCTATCAATTGTTAAGCGAAAGAGACGGTTGCTGAGAGAGCGAGAGAGAGTTCAGAATTTAGTTAGCTAGAAGTTATTTTCGTTTGGTTTTTAATGCGGTTTTTTAAAATACCATATCGGGAGAGACCTTCACCCTTGTCTAGCCGCATAATTACAGGTCGTAACGCTTCCCCCCGGGGAGAGACAAAAAGAGAGAGAGAGAGCGAGAGAGAGAGAGAGAGTGAGAGAGGGAAAGAGATCGAAAGCGAGAAAGACCGCATATGGTTTGGTGCTCTTGTGGGGTGATCCTTCAACCAAATGACCTCACCCTCAAACCCGATTCGCCGAAGTAATGCCGAAAGCCGCGCACTGAGAAATGAGGGACAACCGAAAGCAGCGTGTTCTGATGATTGTCCTGAGGATCGGCACGGGCTTGCCATCCCAAAAAAAGTGGCCGCCCAGTGATACCTTTTCACGCCACGGCCTCACTTCTGCCTATCAGAGATGCACAGCCGGATTTTTATCGTATTCTTGTGTCTCGCCTTTTATTTGTGGCTCCAAGTTTCCGCCGCTGATCACTGCTTTGCCACCCGGAAACCCAAGACCTTCCGTCTACGCAACGCTGCAAAACGCGACCCGCCGAGGGGTTGGAACCATAATGCAAGAGTGGTAAGTTGGGGTTCCCTATGGCCTTGCGTCGAAGACTCGGGTGTCGGCATTTTCATATCGTTGTAAAGGAATCGCACGCTTACGCCATGCATCTGCATGGCATGCATGCAGATGCCTGCCATGCAGATGCCTAAGCAGGCATGCATGCCCTAAGCATATGTAAATTTTGAGTTTTTGAAATTCGAGATTCTATGTGTTCGAGATTCTATTTTCGGAAATTCTGAAATTGGAGCTTCTGATTTTCGCTATTCTAATACGTAATCAGTTTTGTGACGTGAAGCCTTAATTAATAATTAAAAAAACATACACATCAAAACGTCAGAGGCCCCAATTTTTAGCGACAAATCAACGGCGGCCAGTTCGGGATCAAGACGTGCAGCGTGCCGAAGGTGATGTCGTCGATGGTCAGTCATGTGATGTGCGATCTCTTCCATGCTTATCACGGATCCAAGGGGGATGCCGGGAATTCGAGGAGGGGGTTTGTGGTTTGTATCGGCTAAACTTTACTTAACGATTGGCTATACAGGGGTGTACCAATAAGAAAACACCACTCTAACTCGAAGCAGAAGTATCGGATCGGAATGAGAATGGTTTTTCGGAGATGCATACGAGCTAATTTGCAAAAATTTCTCCAAGCAAAATGACCGTGGTTGTCGTTAATTAGATGCAGAAGCCATGCCTTAACGTCTAAAAGTCGTTATAAAATACCGCATTTAAATAAAAAATCGTTCTAATGACTGTTGCAAAGTCGCCGTTTTAAAGCCTTTCGAATGGTATAACTATCGTTCCGATCCGGCACTTCTTCGTCGAGTTACAGGGGCTGTTTTTCGGACACGTTGTACTCTTTATGGCCTGAGCCTGCAATAATATACAGGGTGTCCCAAAAAAAAAAACGAACCATCTGGCATTTCGCCGTGTTACATACAATCGGCCCCAAATTTGGACCAGAGGTGTATCAGACCCTAAATAACAACAATCCTGGCTTATAGCCCTGTAGCTATAGTAGTTCTCGGGTTATGGCAAAAATAAACTTCATTTTCTATGTTTCATAGGGTTTTCGTGGGATTAGATCCCCGAAATATTAAGTGAAAATGATCCGGAAGGCCTCCTTTACCTTAAGAAATTTTTTCCAGAAAAAATTAATTAAATAAGCTTTGATTTAAGCAATTTTTACACGCAAAATTACCCAAGTTCTTAAGCGAAATTAGGGATTCGCAGCCGGAAGTCGATGCAAATCGATGCAAAGTCCAAAAAGATAGCCGAAAAAACTGTTCAGAATTCCGGCAAAAGCAGTATTTTCGTTATAACTCGAGAACGACTGTAGCTACGGGACTAAAAGTCAGGATTGTTGTTATTTAGGGTCTGATACACCTCTGGTCCAAAATTTGGACCGATTGGATGTAACACGGCGAAATGCCAGATGGTTCGTTTTTTTTTGGGACACCCTGTATTGTCTTACAGTAACTGCCGAGAGCACCCCTACGTTACCCGAATGGTCAAGAAGCGTCGAGGTGTCTGGAAACCAGCCAAGAAGCCCGTCCATTTCGCCGTGGTCCGCGAGCCGATCGACCGTTTTGTCAGCGGCTATATGCATATTTGCGCGTGAGTTAATGGCAAATAATTGTTTGCCTAACATTTTGCTTCGCTTAGGCTTAGGCTTAGGCTTGGACATAGGCTTGAGCTTAGGCAGGTTTCGGCTTACTGTAAAGTGTTTTTGCTCAACTTGGAGTATCGATTCGGGACCATGCGCATCTTGTGCAAAATTTTTCGCTGATTCCGACTATGTTTTCCAAATTTGCTACGGACTTTTATTTAAAAAATCATTTTTGGTAACAATTAGGCCGAAAAATGCCAAAAATTCAGACGCTGGCCCACTATTCCTTGTTTGGGGCTATGGATCCCAGGGGCCCTGAAGTACCCGCTGACAGCACCCTACCTAGTTGGCACCATGGTGCAGTGGCAAAGTACTCGCTTGCCAAGCGCAGGGCGGCGGGTCGAACCCCCGCCCTGCACAATAAATCAGTGAAAAATTCTGCACAAGATGTACTTGGTCCCGAATCGAAACTCCAAGTTGAGCAAAAACACTTAGGCCCGGGCTTTCGGTCATGCTTGAAACTTCTGCTTAGAGAGCCGGAGTCCTGCGACGGGCTGGACATCCACAACTTCACCAAGGCCATCTACAAAGCTTTTGACCAAAAGCCACCCCGGTGGCAGAATCCTGAACAGAGC